TTTTTAAGTACAATAAACCATAGAACACAAACTCATGAATTCGGGGGCAGAGAAAATTATTTCCTTTGACTCTTTTTTCTGCATATCATCAATTTGCTTTAGATCCATGTTCCTTTGACTGTCGCTGTAAGCTTACTTGTTTTTTCTTTCTTTTTCTCCATGCTGTCGCGTAGAGCCCTACAGAGAGACAAGTATGGGAGTAAAGCTAAACATTGCATATCAAATGTAATTTTTTTTAGTTCACTTTTATTGCATCACCTGTAGATGATGTAGTAGTTAAAAACAGTTCATCTCACAATCTTAAAACTCAGCCTATGAATTGACTTATGTAACTATCTGTGAATTGACTTATATAAATATCTATGTCGATAGAGATTAGACGCTTTCGTTGTCTGATTCTTTGACCCTGTCACATGACCAACCTAGTTGTTAAGTCTCATGTAATGTCCGTGTGAGTTAAATTGTTTTTAAATTTAAGCATTTAAGTTCGCCCAGTAATTCATAAATGTTTAATTTTTATTAGTACATTCCATCACAAAAACGTGTCCCATGCTGCATACCCACTTTCTTTTGCTGTGGCTGTGCTCAGCCAGCACCTCATGCATTGAAAACAGGAATGATAAGCTCCCGTTTCAATGCATCAGCCACCAACCGTAGCCATCCAGCCTACCCCGGCTGCCTCTGTAGCAGCCATCACCCATCCCACACAGCCCTTTAGGAAGCATTTACTTTTCTTTTTTTCTTAACATTGTGAATTTGTCTACAAGACAGAAAATGAAAATAAACCACTTCAGCCTATGTCTGTGATAGCCGCTTGCTAATGCAATTCATGCATTATTACTGTCGAAAACCATCGCGATACAGCACGGGCGTCAGAAGCCCATATCAAAATTGACATACTGGGGACACCTCATTAAAACCAGCAACGAACTAGCTGACTTTTGATCCACGTAACTGCATCGCAGACATAGAATGAAGTCTGTATTTTCACATTAACAATGTATTAAGAAGTTAATAGAATTAGCCGATTAATTTTTCTTTAAAGAAATAACCTTTTTCACTTACCAGTATTGGTTAAATGTGTTTTTTTTTTTTCCTTCTGTGGTTGCATTTGAAATGATTTATGAAATGAATGTATCGTTGGATTTCTGTTCATTCGAGGGAATGTAAAATCCTTGAAGAAATAGGTGGTCAAATTTATTTTACTTCAGCTGTTTCTTAGCAGAATGAAATGTTTACCCTCTTTTAAACCCAAAGTTTAATGTGCACAGGAAATCATGGCTCATTGTAGAAAAGTTAATTCTAACATGATGTTTTCAGGAATCTGGTCCCTGTGTTTGGACACATTCTTTTGTAGTATTATCTACAAACCTTACAATGACCCCAAACTGATGGTATAGTACAGAATTGCCGCAGCAAAACATTAGAAACTAAATCCAAATTCTTTTGTTTTGAAAGTTTCCTATGTGTAAATTATTTTGATGTGCCATTTCTTTGACTTAGCATTATCCCATGATCTCATCATTCTGATAAATTTAACATAATCCTTCTGTGGTCTCATGTAGAGAGATTGTTTTTAATCTTACTAAATTATATATCAAATTATTAGAAACGGTTTCTTTTACTTTTGACCCCTGTCTTCCAAGTACCACCCATGGATTATGTTAATGGTAGAGTTATTTCAATGTTAAGACAACATGCCATATTAAGGGTAATGAGTTATTTGACTTTGATGTGTATAAATTGAAAGCTATAAATGACCACAGCAAAATTTTACATTATTTTGTCTGCCAAGTTATAACCACATACGCTTCAACTAATGTCATGCCATGTTTATATGGAAATTGCAAATTGATAGTGTAGGTTTTTAAAAAGTCTTTTAAAGATTTTTTTTATCCATACGAGATTTATCAATTGTCCAATTATATATACACATATATATATGTACATCTAAGATTTACGAGTCTGTTTGGTTTCTTTCCAGACATTTTATAGTGAAGTAAAAATGCTAGCAATTTATACATATTTCATAGTCGAGGAATGCGTTGGCTTCTGTGTTTGTGTGTGTGTCGTGCCCTATCGGATGTGAATGTCATATGTCTTGTCATCTTTTTCAGAGGGGCTTCTGAACAATGCCAGGGATACAAGTGTCATGGATACTCTACCACTGAATGGTAACCATGGCAATAGCTACAGCATGGCCAGCAGCGAGTACCTGGGCAACTGTGTGCAAATCATAGACCGAGGCTATACCCATAACGAGACCGCCCTGGAGAAAAAGATTCTGAAGGAACTCACTTCCAACTATATTCCTTCTTACCTGAACAACCACGAGCGCTCCAGCGAGCAGAACAGGAATCTGATGAACAAGCTGGTGAATAACCGTGGCAGTGGGAGCCAAGAGGACGCCATAGTCCTGGACGACGCCACCTCCTTTAACCACGAGGAGGGTTTGGGCCTGGAACTCATTCATGAGGAATCGGACGCTCCTTTGCTGCCCCCGAGAGTGTACTCCATGGAGAACCACCTGCCGCACCATTACAGCCGAAGGCGGCTTCCCCAGGACCACAGTGAGAGCTTCTTCCCTTTGCTAACCAACGAGCACACAGAAGACCTCCAGTCGCCCCACAGGGACTCTCTGTACACCAGCATGCCAGCACTGGCTGGCGTGACCGCCACGGAGAGTGTGACCACCAGCACCCAGACCGAACCCCCGCCGGCCAAAGGTGGTGATGCCGAAGACGTTTACTACAAAAGCATGCCAAACCTAGGCTCCAGGAACCACGTCCATCAGCTGCACACGTACTACCACCTAGGCCGGGGCAGCAGTGATGGCTTTATAGTTCCTCCAAACAAAGACGGGACTCCTCCCGAGGGGAGCTCAAAAGGACCTGCTCATTTGGTCACTAGTCTATAGAAGATGACACAAAAGTTTAAACCAACAAAACTGCTAACACCTTGCTGACTGTTCTGAGTGGACATGAGCAATGGTAATAATGTGTGTACTCCTGAATCTTTATGCTGTTCTCAAAAGACAAACACAAACTCTCAGACTCTTTTTTTTTTTTTTTAATGGGATTTTTAGGTCAGCCCAGGGGAGAAAGATAACTGCTGAAATTCCCCTGTGCCCCTTCCATTCCTTTCCTCCCCCCTCAGACGGAGACTTCATTATGTTAATGAATGAGCTATGGAGAAAATGGCACTCATTGTGGCCTGTTTGAATTTTGTTGTGTTGGTTTTAACATCTCTGATGCTCTGTTACTCTCATTACAAGGACCTGCTTTTTAAAAGGCCAGAACAGTAGATTGACCTGAGCACGGATGCTGCATCCGGATCGGACGTCCACACAGACAGACAAGCAAAGCAAAACTTATCACGTAGCGGTTTGGGGTCACTTCCAACCTGAATTCACTGCAGCCGGCACAGCTGTGGAACACAAAATAAAACAACAAAGTTAATCAGGAAAGGGAGGGGAATTCTAGAATTATATGCTAAATGCATATTTTATGATTTGCTGTATTAACTGATGATAAAACTAATGGCAGAAAAAAATTGAACCATTTCTATGTAATGTACAGACTACCATTGCACATATAGTCTGCTCTCTGTTCTCCAGAATTTGAGTCCTGTTAATGTAGTGGAAAAACAACAAAAAAAAAGAAGTTTTCTTTTCCTTTCGTGCTGGTCTTGCAAGTTTGTCTACCAGTAAGAGAGCAAAGTTCCCTCCTTTCTCCTTTCTTTCTTTCCTTTTCTTTTCTTTTCTGTTCTTTTGGCCTTCTTTTCCGTTTGTTGGTTTCTTTGTTTCGTTCGTTTGTTTCTTTTCTCCTTTCGAGTTTTGCCTGGCAAAAAAAAAATAATAATAAATAAATAAATAATAAATAAATAAATAAATAAAGGAAACTATCACTTTATAAGAATCATTTTCTAGTAATGCAAACAAATTATTTTTTACAAAAAAAATAAAATAAATAAAATTAGACTTTCTTCCCTCACCTATATATATCTTTACGCAGTCAGGATATTTCCAACGGCATTTTTACAAATTAGAACGGGACAAACATTTATGTTTTACAGGGCACACTTGTTGTAAGGCAAGCAGTTCCGCACCAGGACAGTAGCTAAGACTCTAGGAGTCCGGAGGTGTCTGTAGAACTAGTGGGGCTTCCGCATGTGAAAAATGGTATTCCATAGGCGATAAAGTGCTCAATGCTCGGTCTGGTCCCCAGTGGGCACCTGCACTACCAGTTTTTAGAGGAAATTTACTCCCTCATAGTAAGAACTGAAAGGTCAAATTACTTTGAAGTGATTTTTTTTTTAAAGTCTTCCGTTTATTAACAGGAGAATTTATTTATTTGACAGGATTTTAAGTAATGTAGGAATACAAGAGATACATTAGCAGCACATATAATTTTTTTTTTTAAATTTATGATCCATTTTGTATGGTCTCAAAGTTGGATGACCTCATTACTAATATTTGTTGTAAAAGTGAAACTTGTTTGCCAACCAATAAACAACTGATTGAGATTTAGAAGATATTGTATTTATGTATGTACTATATGATTAATTTTCCTCGCCTTCTGTTTTCAGTAATATAAACTTTTGTCTAATCACCTGTAGCTCAAATGAGCCAGGTAGACGATGTGGGTCTGCCCAGACGAATCACCTAAGCACAAAATTATACAGTTTTTGCAGACAAACTAAACCAAAAAAATGGGATGGGCATGTTTACCTGGGCTGAAATAAGATATGTAACTTACTCTGGAGCAGGTTAACATGTGTGTTACCATGTTATAAAAGAGCTGTGGTCGCCATGCTGATTTTAAGACCCAGATTCAATCAGAGATGGACATAATGAATTTGGGTGGGTGGGGGGCGTGGTATCTCTTTCCTTCTTTTAAGTTCCATTTTGATGTCAGAAGTTTAAATTCTTTCAAATGTCTAAAAGCTACAGGAATCATGGCTTGTAGAATATCCAATTCCTAAAGATAGTATAAGATATTTTTTGTCATAACTTTTAAAAATTCTACATGTGGGGAAAATAGTGGAGGAAAATATTTCTTTCTAAGGAACTTTCTAGATCTCTAATAACCATGGATGGTTTGTAGCTGTGTCAAAGAGGAAAGCTAAAATTAATTTGCCAAATTTTAATTTCTCTCATAGAAATTAATGTTTTTATCTTGGGATTTTCTTTTCCAAAATCTGAATACTACCCATCTATAAATGAGTATCTTATATCAATATGAGAAGATTAGAGAGGGTCAGTAATCTCTATCAAATTTAAGAATATATGGCCAAAAACGTCCATGTGGGGCCAGAGTACATCGCAGCCTTCAATCGTATCACCTCAAAATATTTTTTATGCATCATTCCTTTTTAGTCAATGGACATGAGTATTTTTTAAGTCTATAGATTTTTTTTAAGGTGGAGAAGACCCGTAGGCTTTAACGATAATTAGGTTTTTCTCATCCCACACTGTCCCACAATATCTGCACCTGAAAAGCATTTAATCCAACCTGATACATAGAATATATTTGTCAATAATAGAGCCCTTTTAGACATGTTTAAGGGAACTTCAGAAACACAGGTATCATCTGTGGATCATGAGCACCTGGTCAAACAGTAATCCATATGGAAGTGATTCAGCAAGATGTTAGTTTCACAGAAAAATGGGGGAACTACCTCAGTTCAGCTCTCTGACTTTCTGATGTTTCTGCCTCCCTGCCTGTTATCTCTTGCGTTTGATTATATGGAAATTTGAAGCAGAGAGCCTGCCCAGCTCCACATAGACCAAGTTGAAGAAAGAGCACTTGAGTACATGGCCTAGTGCAAAAGAACCTGCGTTGTTCTCTTAGTTACTACTAAGCTCTTGCGTCAAAATGAAAGGGTGAGATTTTTGAAGTCTCACACATCATAATGGCTTTGTGTTCAGAGAGACTTAAAATCCCAAAGGTTTTCACAGGGAGAGATTATTCCACCATGCTTTTATTATGTAACTATAATTAAAAAATGGATAAAGAACTTAATTATACACATTTCAACAAAAATTTCTGTCTATCTCATAGGTGACTCTTGGCAAGGGTTGAATTCCTGAACTTGAATCTTTTTCTTCATGAGCTTTTTCATGTAAAACTATTGACAAATGAATAATTTTTAAATATTCCTTCTTTCTCCCACCTTTGGTTCACTCCATGTGTTCTAATACCCTGTGACATTGATGACCCTACTTATCTACGTACTTTTGATACATTTATCTGATTTTCCAATAAAAAATAAATTTCCATGGAACAGACTTACTATACCTACGTAACACATTATATAGCCGTCTGGAAGATAAATATTGCCAGTGAAACAAAGTAATTATTCCTTCTTAGTAAAATAATATTTTTGTAACATTTTGCACTTGGATTTTTTTCATCTAAATTCTATTTCATATACTACTTTATCAGGACACAAGCTAATGGACTTCAAGTTTAGTTGATTCTGAAACTGATGGATCGTTCCACAACCTCTGTGCCTAATTAATACCATTTGTGGCAAAATCCAAATTCTGGAAAGGAGACATAGGTTGGAACCCCAATTAAATTTTATGGGAATTTCTGCCTCTTTCCACCCTATTATAATTGAGCACATTGGCATTGAATAATAAATTACTATTCTAAAATAATCATAATGGCAAAAAAAGAACTGGCATGGGAATAATTATCGTGAAGTAAAAATAATCAGAAAAATGTATAATCAAAAAGCACATAATGGAACTACCTGCCTGTAAAAAAGTTCATGACTCTAAATTAAAATATAGTTTATTATCTGTATTTTTAAAATATCCATTATAATATAAAAATGTTGGCATATTAATGAAAGGATGTTTAAGATTTAAGTTATTTAATTCTGTATTATTAATTTCGTTGGTGTGGCAAATCTTTTCATGATAACAGAGTTCACCATGTAAGGGAATTAGGAACATTTATGAAAGATCCACATACTTACTTGTAGGCAATTACCTCCAGCTATTCCCTCCACCCGTGTTCAAATTCACTGGCTAGTCAATGACTTGGCTTTCTGCCTTATCGTAGGAGACCAAAAAAAAGAGGAAAAAGAATTTCTGGACTACCTAAAGATTAACTCGGAGAGAATCTATAACCAGTCCCTAATAATGAAAGAACAATTAGTTTTTGCAAGTGGTCCGTCATTACTGTACCAAACTACTCCTACTTAGAATATTTTGGAAAAAAAAATACTGCTGAACTATAATACATGTTAATTTAAATTTAGAGGATGAAAAGAAGAATCTAAACCCTAATTTAGTTTTCAGCTAAACCTGAAGATATTGGCATGAATGTCCTCTCCTTCTCTAACAAAAATATGGAGATTAAAATATGTGAACTTCCCATGACATAGAATATTGAGATTTAATTAGTTCATTGGAAGTAATTGATAATTATAACTCACCCCCAATCACTGTCTATTCCTAAGTAATACTTTTTTAATGTATTTTATGTTACATTTCTGCATATCAATAAATTAGGACGTTGGAAGCCCAAAAGTGAGGCAGCAACTTTGAAAAATAGCGTATGGATGTGTTTTTGTGTAAAGGGATTCTACGCAGCTTCTTAGAACTAAAAAAATTAATTCAACATATGCCAAGAGACAGGCAATTTTGTGATCAGCATATATAGCCTTCCTCAATCATCTGAAAAATATTAAACATCAAAATTTTTATCTGTAGACCAGCAGAAATTAAAAAGTGTTGGTAGCTGCTTCTTTCCTGATTAGGTCATAGGAAGAAACTGTCTTATTTACTAATTGACGCTGATTATTTCCTCTTTGGTTTAAAGGGAAGTCCATTTTTGAATGTCCACCTAGACACACACTCACACACGCTGATCACTTTTATTTACAGCGTACCCAGGAAACAGC